ATGGTATTACCATAATATTTACAAATAAAAATGTATGTAATTTATAGTTACTCAGTGTTTATTATAAATCGTTACAGACGAGGGAATGTACGAATTTTTGAAGCGATTTGTCCGACAATTAATTGGAACGAGTTTATTCGATGTGCGTAGATTGTAGCTTGGATGTTCGGCTGGTTCAACTAGTTCGGATAGAGGACTAGTTTGCGGAAGAACCTTTTTTCTAAAAAATTTTGAACATAACAGTTCGCGCCTAGAATACAATGTTGGGATATTGAGATCTGATAAGGATTCTTTGTATGATGACGATGGGTTAATTATTTTCAACGCTCTTGACTGGATCCTTTCTATTTCTTTGGATAGGTATTCAGGTATGTTATAATGCCAAACTTGGGCGCAATACTCCAAGATGGGTCTTACACATGAAAAATACACTGATATCAATGTTTTAGTGTCACAACGAGCTCGCTTGAGGAGTCTAAGCATGTAAAGGCGTTTTGCGGATTTTTTCACTATGTGAGCCACGTGGTCATTCCACTTTAGGTCGTCCTTGAAAATTAAGCCAAGGAGTTTAGCGGATTTCACAACTTCAATGAGCTGTTCGTCAACGATCATTGGGGGGAAATTTGGATTGTTTTTCCAAAAACAAACGAGGATTTCTTTGCATTTACGGGGGTTTAAGGACATGTTATTTCTTGCACACCACTGCGTAATTCCTTCTAAAATAGTTTGAAAGTTCGAATCTTGGTTTCTAGAAAGGGTTTCTGAAACAGACGAATCATCAACATATTTCCATCTATCGTCCCAATCAACCAACAAATCGTTTGTCATAATCATAAATAGAATCGGACCTAAGACAGTGCCTTGTGGAACCCCACCGTTCACTGGTTCGAAACTTGAGGTGTATTTACCTATCTTCACTCGCTGTTTCCTGCCAGTAAGAAACTGTTTTACCCATGCAATAAGAACGGGATCGATGGCCATTTCCTCCATCTTCTTGATAAGAATATGGTGATTAATCTTGTCGAAGGCTTTACTAAAATCCAGAAGCAGCACACGCACGCATTGGTCAGATTGGTCGGTAGTTCCATACAGATGATGAAAAAAGGATAGAAGAGCGTGAGTTGTAGATAAGCCGGCGAGTGATCCGAATTGTTTCCTGTCAACGAGGTGTCTGATCTGTGACATAATCCACTCTGCGACAAAATGTTCCAAGGGTTTTGAGAGAATTGGTGTTAGAGATATTGGGCGTAGATCATTTTCAATTTCCTTAACCTTATCTGTTTTACGAATAGGTATTACATCTGCTACTTTCCATGAAACGGGTACGACTCTCTCTTGGATTGACGCGTTAAAAATTTCAGCAACGGGTGATGAGAGTTCCATGGCAAACTCGTTTAAGACCCAACTTGGTAAGTTGTCAGGACCCGAGGCTTTAGTGCGTTTGAGGTTGGAGAGCTTCGTAAAAACATCTTCAGGAGAGATGTGGTATTTTGAAATAATTTCGTTAACTACTGCAGGATCAGTTTCAACGTTTTCCAATTGGCTGTTTAGAGGTGGTAGAGAGTTTGTGATACACAGGAAGCTTTCATTAATTTTTGTTGCTAATTCGGTTGAATGGAATTCTTTGCCCGATACAAAAACATTGGATACTGGTAATTTCTTAGGAAGTCCTCCAAGTTGTTTGATGGATTTCCACCAGGAAGCTACATTGTCACAGTTTTTTACCTTATTTGCAAAAAAGGAACTCCTAAGACTGTTATTTAGCCTGTTAACTTTATTTCTCAATTTTTTGTAAACAGGAGGGTCTGACACCGTCACAGACATTAGTTATCGAAGTTGTGCATACCTATAAGTTGTCTTGAAATTCATCAAGTGTGCTCGACATACACGCCTTAATCAAGCATTCCTTTACCAAATTGCCAGCCTTTCCACGGAATAGTAAAGAACTCAATTTTCCAGGATACCATGTGCATGATAAATCAAAGTTAAAGCTATCAAACTTTTTTGAATTGCCCCCTGGCGACGACCATTTACCACGCTGGGCAAAAGCATATTCGATACATTTCTTTAGCGATTCGTGATCAGCAGACCATCTAATTCGTTCGCCTTCGTAATATATCATTTCGGCAGTTTTATATCTGTAAATTTCTTTCACATCCAAAACGGTGGTCATTATATTTTCATCGGGGTCGGAGCTCATACAAACAGAACCCGCCGCCATGTTGATCGGTACAATTCTAGTGAAATAATTCAATTAAAACACAGATCAACGCTTGGGCTCCTGTGTCACCACCAATAGTTCCAAGAACAGGGTTGATACTCCATGAGAAGTCCCCCTAAAATGCAACTATGTATACCAGCAAACTACTTAAAATGGCGATCTGATTTTTGCAATTTTTTTCTATAACAAATACTGATACTGATTTTGGAAAATCTGAATACTGATTTTGGCAAATTTTCTCTATAACAAAACTCCAACGAACCTAAATTTAGTGCCGTGAATGACACCCAGTGGAGCTTTGTATCATGTGGAAAAGCCCAGTTGTATCTAAATTATGAAGTTAACAATCGTTCGACAACCCAATATGAACTCCAAAGCTACAAACTTCTTTACGGGCTAGCTTCTGCTTATCTGTGGCGATATCCTGACAACCCAGGTCCTACAGCTCAGTTTAATTCTGCTTATCTGTGGCGATATCCTGACAAACCCAGGTCCTACAGCTCAGTTTAAATGTGGCTTGTGTGATCTTAACGTTGAATGTGATCCTAATGTTGCGGGGTTTTCTCTGTTTATTCAGAACATAAACAATGTGTATTAAAGTGGCTGCTTTTTAACTAAAAAAAAACAAGCAACGCAGTCGGTAATTGCCAAATTTGCAAGTGCTCATTTTCGACTAAAATCGGAACAGGCAAATTAGGACGAATTTCAACGCAGAAAACCAGTCTCAAACTTCAAATCGTGAGGGAAGTCGTGCAACCATATTAGCCGATTAATGCGTGCATCGCTGTCGCCATTGTTATAAATAAATTGTCTTACTTATCAGATTGTGTGTGCAATTCTTGTTGGTGGCGGAAAGTACGAAATTTATTTCAGTTATTTCATTTGGTGAAGAACTCTACAAAAGAAGAGAGCCTTCAGGGTCCAGATCGTTTCGTTTCAAACGGCAATTACCGTCTTCTGTTTCGCTCTCTCAGCGAAGCCTTGCAATTCGCAAAGTGTTTCGAATAAGCTTACATGCAACTGCCTCTAAATCTTCACCGCGAAAAGCCGCTGTTTTCTTCAGAGCTAGTCAACATCAACCAAAAGATAATTTTCTTCAGGAACATATAACGTATTAAGCCTGTTTGAAATTAATGAAACCGGCTAAAGTAAAGGTTACTATAGTTTACCCCAGTCGTAATGTTGCTATTCCAACACTTCACGACAAGCAATCCCCATTGGCATAACGGCAAAAATATCTCTTCCTTCAAGTAAACAATAAACAGTCTGTTCTTGTTCCATTTTTAATCGAAAAAAGTGATCAATTTTCGAATTTTAAAGGTGATCTACAGTCCGATCTGCACATGTGAGCCCACTTTTTATGATACAAACAGTTTAACTATGTTTTGAGTTCTTGAAAAGCCTGATTGTTGTTTCTTGATCATTTATTATACTCTAGAAGCTTGAAAATATAAATAGTTGTCGAATAAAGCTCAATATTTTGGACACAAAAATGTAAACAAAGGCTTTGTTTACATACGGACTGTAGATAACCTATAAGCTTATCGAGAGCCCTTGTGATGAATCTCTGATCTAATTATAGTATCCAACAGCAAACAGCCAATCAGAATGCCGCGTTCGTGGGCGAACGCAGAAAGTACAAAATACCGGGCCTTGCTAGCAGGCCCACTATTCTTCCCTTGGGCCTCCACGTGGGCTAGCTAAATGCCAATCTGCTGGCTCTTCAACGCTGATTGACCTTAATAGAAGCAATGTGTCATGGTATTGCTGCTCGTGTAATTGTCCAAATTACTCCACGGTGTTCTCTTGCCATAGCACTAGCTTGTCTAATGTGTTTGAAGTCCTGTCAGCCTCCAATTCACTACCTGATCAAAGTCCTACTACACATAGCCCCATCCCGCTTACCGATGAACGCTCAATCAATTAAGAACGAAAGGGCTGAGATTTGCAATCTTGCAAAGAAAGCACCCAGCCAGATGTCATTGTCTGCACAGAAACATGGCTCAACAGCGACATAGTAAATCAGTGAAATATTTTCCCAAGATATAGCAAAATATGTATCGCTGGATGTAAAAGCTTACATATATGTGGATACTACAATCCCCATGAAGAAAATGAGCTCAGCTTGGCAAACTTTGTAAAATTTGTACAATTAGTACACAATCTTAGCTCTTATATTTGGATTGCTGGTGACATGAATTTCCCAGGTTATGACTGGCTCAATAATTGCCTGAAGCCAAATTGGTCATATCCTAGCTTGACAACAAGCCTGGTGGATCTTATAGATGATTGTGGTTGCACACAATTGGTCATGGCACCTACAAGGGGAGCAAATACCTTACATCTTTTTATCACTAATAACGACTCACTAATCAACACAGTTAAAGTTATCCCAGGTTTGAGCGACCATGATATTGTGTATGTTGAAGGAGCAACTGAACCCCATAGTAAACAAACAAAAGCCTCGGAAGCTATTTCTATATAGTAAAGCGGACTGGGTTGGTCTACGCAAACACATAAATTATTTTAGTGAGTCCTTTGTTAGTACAAACTTATTAGACCCTGCATGCATGGTAAGTCTGTCGACCAGCTCTGGGATTCATTGGATTCACTTGAACTTGAAAAGGCATCAACAAATACATCCCTTTCAAATCCGCTAAGCGAAGAAATGGCCCAATATATCTTGTTCCTTGTGTATATAAAAATCTCACGGAATACGTTCAATCCAGTGTACATCTCTTTTCTGACGACACAATTATGTATCTGGCAATTTTCTCAGAAGATCAGTGCGCTCAACTACAATCAGACCTAGACAACCTACAATCATGGGAGAAAGAAGTCCTACGAGTAACGCGCAAGAAATCAATGATCCATCATGATTATACTCTTCACGGCAAAGTCCACAGTCCGTCACAAGTGCCAGGTATCTTGGAGTACAATTATCACACGATTTAAAGTGGAACTCTCACATCAGCAATGTTACTACCAAAGCAAACCGTATACTCTAGGCGGTTTCTGAAAAGAAATCTGAGGGTAAAAAATCGTGAACTCAAGCAAAAGGCATATGTTAGCCTTGTACGCCTCCAGCTAGAGTACTGCTGTAGCGTTTGGGATCCCCGACGCGGAGTTGAAAACAACGGTTCCTACAGAGTGGAGATGATTCAACGCAGAGCGGCGAGATGGACCCCAGCACGCTAAGCTTTCATCCACTGGTCAGTGTTAATGAAATGCTATGAACTTGGGTGGCGCTCTCTTGAGGAAAGACGCATTGACGCTCGTCTAGTCCTGATGTACAAAATTGTCCAGGGCCTTGTACCAGTCAGCTGTTCAAATCTTCTTCGTCCTGCATTAAGAAGATCTCGAAATACCCATGAACACTCATTCCTACCTATAGTCTGCAACACGTCCTCCCACTGCCTATCCTTTTTCCCAAGAATAATTAACCAGTGGAACAGGATTCCTTCAAACATTTTTACAAATTGTGACACAACTGACACTTTTCGTCAGCGTATTTCACTGCTGTCTCATTCTAGTAATGTTTAGTGTGTTATTGCGACCCTCAGCCAAGCTTGGGGGTCGGGGGCTCTGTTCGGGGGTTTGATCGTAAATAACGCATATGTTATCAGAGAAATTCCAATTTCCCTTGGAGACTGCATGTGCCTACGTGACGATCGGGCATTCTGGCCGAGCTCCCGATTTCTGATCTCGGCTCGGGACCGATCTAGGGTGTTGTTTTTTTTTTTTGGGGGGGGGGTTGTGGTTTTTTTTTATAGTTCTTCTATTATTTAACTTTCCGTTATTAACTTTAAATAGTTTATTATTATTAACTTTTTCTTTGGGTTGGCAACATGCCGATTATATTCTGCTGACCCCAGCTAATAATCCTCATACTGAGGGGTGTGCTATATATATTGGAAGATAGACCGCAAATATCGGTTGTACAAAAGCAGTTGCAGCATTTCTGTGATGGAAAGTAGCAGGAAAATCGTGTTCTGCATTGTTCGTAGACGAGGATTACGACTTACGATAGTACGCCATGATGACGAGATCGACCGTTGGCAAGTGTTCCAAAGAGAGACATAACAAAATTTAGGCCACATAAAAAAAATTACTTGTTTAGCGTCCCCGCCCGACCTGATAAAAGTCCCCGACCTCCAATTTTTTTTTTTTTTTTTTTTTTTTGTG